ATTTTTTTGTTTAAAGTAAATTTTATAATCAGCATGTCTGTATTTACAAAAAACCCTGCTGGGATTTTGATTGGAATTGTGTCAAATCTATAGATGAATTTCAAGAGGATTGACATCTTTATTAAATTGAGTCTTCCAACCCATTAATTTGTGGAGCATATATTATGTGTTTTATTAGATTTATACTCAAGTAATTCACTTTTCTGGAGCTTGTATAAATGGCAATTTTAAAAATAATTCAGCTTATGATTGCTTGTTGCTATTATATTGAAATATGATGGATATTTGTATGTTGACCTTGCCAAATTTACTTAAGTACGAGGAGCTTATTTTGAGTACTAGGAGCTTATTTTGTAGATTCATTGTGTTTTGTTTCTTCCTTTCTAATCTTAATGTCATTTCTTTTTCCTTTCCTCATTGTAATGTCTAGGATTTCAAATACAACATTGGGTAGAAATTGTGAGAGTGGATCTCCTTATTTCTAATGCTAGGGGAATAGTGGCCACTTTTTCATCTTTAATGAAATATGTTATCTGTAGATGTTTGACTTTTTTTGTAGATGTGCTTAGCAGGTTCCTTTAATTCCTGGTTTGCCTGAGGGTTTTTTTTTTTTTTTATGAATGGCTGTTGTGTTTTGTGAAATGCTTTTTCTGCATGACTAGTACATTACTATTCAAGTTATCTTTTTTTGGGGAAAGTTTTAATAATCGGTGGCTTTCAAGGAATTGGTATGTGCATAGTGTTATTATTCCTATATTATTTTTAATTGTCATGGGCTCTGTAGACCCTTTTTCATCCTACTGAGCTATACCTCCAGCACTCTTTCATTCTTGGTGTTGGTAATTTGTGTGCATCTTCTTTTTTCTTTAGTAGCCTTGCCAGTGGATTTTTATTAGTTTTTTGATCATCTGAAATAACCTACATTTAGAATTTATTTTTCTGTTTTCTATTTATCTGATTTTTGCTCTGATGTTTATTATATCCTTCTTTCTCCTTATTTGGCACTTATTTCAGGAGGACTAAATTGTTGATTTTAGTCCTTTCATTTCTAAAATGTTTGATAGTATGCATTTCCCCCAAGCATTGATTTAACTGCATAATGCAAATTGTGATGTATTGTGTTTTCACTTTAGTTTAATTCAAAATGTTGTCTAATTTCCCTTGAGGCTTTCTCTTTGATCCGTGGATTGTTTAGAAATGTATTGTTTAATGTCTCAGTATTTGGGGATTTTTCAGTTTTGTTATTGACTTTTAGTTTAATTGTATTATGGTAAGAGAACATAGTTAGGTTTCATTTCTTCCAAATTTGTTAAGATTTGTTTTATGACCCAGGATATCTTGGCAAATGTTCCATGTTCACTGTAGTTATTGGATAGTGTTTCATAAATGTAAATTAGATCGTGTTAGTTAATAATATTATTTTTCAGTTCTGTATTCTTGTTGATTTTTGGTTTACTTCTTCTATGGATTAATGAGAGAAAAGTATTGATGTTTCTAGCTGTAATTGGAGATTTGCCCGTTTTTCTTTTCAATTCTATTAGTTTTTACTTTATGAATTTGAAGGTAAGTATAATGTTAGGCATGTGCACATTAGGTTTTTTTCCCTTCATTATTATATAATGTGCTTCTTTATACTTGAATAATTTTCTTTGTTCTGAAGTCTACAGTTTCTGATATTAATAGCTGTGTTAGCTTTCTTTTTCTTTTTTTTTTTTTGGTACTGGGGATCGAACTTGGGACCTTTCGCTTGTGAGACAGGCAGCGGCACCAGTGAGCTAAACCCCGGGCCCATGTTAGCTTTCTTTTAGTTAGTGTTTGGATGGTATATCTATCTTTCTTTCTTTCTTTCTTTCTTTCTTTCTTTCTTTCTTTCTTTCATGGATGGAACTCAGGACGTTGTGCTTGTGAGGTAGGCGTGGTGCCACTGAGCTAAATCCCCAGCCCTAAAGTAAATTCTGATGTATAGCATGTAATTTTTTTTCTTTAAATTTGTTGTCATAGTCTCTGTATTTAAAGTAGAATGTTTAGTCCATTTACACTTAACGTACCAATGTGTTGTGATTAGACCTATTATTTTCTTGTTTTCTTTTTTTCCTTCTTCTGTTTCCCTGTTCAAACCTCTTTCAGATTATTTTACCACTCCATTTAAATGTCTCTGGCAAGTTTTTCAATATATCTCTTCATATTGTTTATTTAAAACTATTAACAAATTTTAATGATTACTTTAGAGATTACAAAGTACCGATATAAGTATACCTATACATACACGTTTAACTTTTTTATTTTACCATAAGGAAAATGTTACTACTGCCTATCTCCAATATATATTATTTTAACATACATTGAAAACTCCACTAGACTATGTTGTGGTTTTGTTTTTGACTACCATACATTTTTTAAAGAATTTTGGGCTTTTCATTTGAATTCCTTCTTTGGGTAGCTCCTCAGATATTTGCCATTTGTTTTTCTTTTCCTTCCATTTCTGAAGTTCCACAATTCCTTTTGTTATTATTTCTGTTCAATCTGAAGAACTTCCTTTATCATTTAAAAATTTTTTAAATTAAATTAATTTTATTTTTTGTTCTTTTGAGACAAGGTCTTGGTATTTACTTCAGGTTAGACTTCAATTCACTGTGTAGCCCAGGCTGGCTGTGAACTTTTGGTGATCCTCCTGCTCAGCCCCCTGAGCCCTGGTATTACAGGCATGTGCCACCATACCTTGCTAATTTCTTTTTATAGCAGATCTATTGCTGATGAATCCATTTTATTCCTGCATTATAAGATGTCTTCATTTTACCTTTATTCCTTAAGGATAGTTTTAGTAGATATAAATTTCTGGCATAACAGTTTCTTTTCAGCCCTTTAAAAATGTTGTTCTACTGCTTCTGGCCTCTGTGGTTTTGATGAGAATTGGGCTGTCACTTGAATCATTGTTCCTTTCCCCATATGTAATGTGTCATTTTTCTCAGGCTGATTTTGAGAGTTGCTTTTGGTCTCTGTGGGTTATCCTGTTTGGTACTCGGTAAGCTTCTGTATGTTTTATGCCTTTTTCCAAAATTAGGAGATTTTAAATTATTATTTCTTCTAATATTTCTTTCTTCTATTTATCTTCTATTTTTTCAGGGACTTGAGTGAATGTTGGACCTTTGGGTATTGTTTCAGATGCTATGTTGAGTTTTTCAAATTTTCTTTTTCCTGTATTTTTGTACTGAATAACTTTTCCTCCTCACAAAAACCTGTAAGGTTGACTTTATTATCCTTATGTTAGAGACGAAGAAACTGAGGCTTAGAGAGGTAGCATGTCCAGGGTTGCAGCATGAAAAAATTAAGATTGACCTTAATATTGTCTCCAAAGCCCCTGGTGATTCTGCGTTAACACTGAGAAGTAAGCTTGGCTAGTGACTTTGTGAATGAAAAGGGAACAATAGATGCATGATTTATAGTGTGAGCAGACACACTAGATTTAGTAAAATACCATCAGCACTTGTCACAATTAAGACAGTCTTAGAAAAGGTTGCACATGTCTGTTATTAAATTCATTTGATTTTTTTATTTAGGAATTTATATGGTATAAAATATAAAGGTAAGGCCAGGCATGGTGGTGCATGCCTGTAATCCCAGCACTTGAGAGATTGAGGCAGGAAGATTGCTGTGAGTTTCAGGCAAGCCTGGCCTACATAGTGAGTTCAAGACCAGCTTGAAGTACATAACAAGACCCTGTCTCAACAAACAAACAAACAAGATTCAAAAGGTAAAAAATAATATACAGTATATTTCTCAGTGTATATCATTATATCAAGTCAATAAGCATACATTCATAGCTCAGCCCCCATTTTGGAGTATGCAGTGAATTATTTTTTCAGTCACGGTTTTGTACGAGATCATTAAAACTGACTCCTTCTGTCTAACTGAAACTTCATACTCTGTGATCAACACTTTTATGTTCTCCATTTATATCCTCTTCTCCTGCCTTTTATTTAAATGATAACATACCATAAATAATAGTTTATATCAGTGATCTTAAACCTTTTAGAGCTTTCAGTGATAACAAACAGCTGGCTGAGGCATACATACCATAGGTTCACCACCACTGGTCTATATTATAGTGTTTTCACTTAACAACACATCATGGAGATAATTTGCTGTATGAGTATACAAAGTGGTCTATCTCTTTTTAAAAGTTCTATAATTATCACCAAGTGGATATACCATAACTTAACCATAGATTAGTTGACTTTTAATAATTTAAATTAATCACGGAGTATTGGACTTCAAAACCTTTTTGAAGTATTGCATACCTACAGGAACACACACATATGTGAACAGGTCAATGAATTATCAAACAAAACAAAACCCACTCCTACAACTATCACCATCAACAAGAAATGGAACATTATCAGCATCCTAGAAGTCTCCTTCCTGGCTCTTCTCAAATGCCACCCACTCTTTCTTCCCAAAAGTAACAGTCATCCTGGACTATTTTCAAGTTTCTAAATTGCAGTGATACTTTCCTTCTTGTAATCAATAAGTCCTCTGTGAGAGGATATCTTGAAGCTGAATATATATTTTTCAGTGATCTTTCATCTAATATGTTTAATATTAATGATTCTTATGTGAATCAGTTATTACTATGGAGGTCATATAATGGTGATTTTCTGTTTTTATTATTTTTCTACATTTATTAACTGGATTTCTTCTGTGAAGAAGAGATTCCCCTCTTCTCTTCCCTTTCCTTCCCATCCCATCAATGTGGAGCCATGAATTCTTTCTTTAGTCAAACATCGTTCACTCCTGTCATTATTCATTATTCTAAATGTGACTGGTGGGAACCACTTAATTCTTCTGGGTGGTATAATTGTACCAGAGGTAAGCTCTCTCTAGTGTTTAACATTTGAATCCATTTTGTAGCATTGGAAGCTATGGGGATTAATGTGGGTACTGTTTGTTAGATCCTCTGCCTTTTGTTTACTTTAGATAACCCTTTTGTGCTTATGTTTCAGCAAATCACTGAGTTGAAGAAAGAAAACTTTAACCTAAAGCTCCGCATCTATTTCCTTGAGGAAAGAATGCAACAGGAATTTGCTGGCCCCACTGAACACATCTATAAAACTGTGAGTGGCCCACATCACTCTGCTGTTCCTTTTTTTCCCCTCCTAGTCATTCCAAGCAGATGCTTGACTGATACTTGCTTTCAGAGTTAGCATGAATAGGTAGAGCTGCTCTCATCTAATTTGGATTGATTATGAGAAGTATAAAGATATTAGGATGACCCTCGTATTAATCAAAGAGGCACATGATTAATTTTAAGGAAGTCACAGAATTCTGTTTCACTGTCTTTATTTCAATTACCTGTTTATAATTATTCATTATTTAGAAACAGACAATGGATCCTTAGAATGGCTTTGGAATGGATCCTGTTAACCAACTAACTGGGGTAACTTTAGGCAAGTCACTTCTGCTCTCTGGGCTTGCTTCTAGAGTTGAGTGATGATCCCTGTGTCATAGGGTCATTTGTGTGGATTAAAGTGAAATGACAGCTGAAAAGCTCCACGCACAGTCTGTGCTTGACATTTGTCACCACTGTCTTAGGGAGGCTTCCTTTGGCCGCCCAGAGTTCAGATTGTCAGTTTTTCTGTGGTTTGACTCTTCTGTATTCCTTTGTGCTTGCCTAGAACTGTCAGAAAAAGAGTCTATTCCTATTTGAAGTCTTAACCTGGAGGTCTTTGTCTGAAAACAAACCTTGGTTCTGAAAGTTGAATAAAGAACTTGGCTTTCTTGAAAAGACATAAGTACAAACAATATTTTGGTGCCCATTTCTTAGCTTTTTCTGGTAGATTAGCCCTTGGACTGAGAATAATTCTGTCTTTTGTCCTCTGAAGTTTGTACCAGTGGAAACTTTTGAAGGGAGAAAAAGAACTCTCCTTGAGTTTCAGCAGAGGAGTTTAAATGGACTTTTCTTGAAGAAGGATTTTTCTGTCCTGAGCCTTTTCAAAAATTGAAAAGCTCCCTTGTCCCTGAAGGCACAGTTTTTTTTCAGTGAGGGGGTAGGAAGACAATGAGGATGTTTCCTTTTCCAGAAGGGTGTGGTGATGCAATTAGAATTGCAAGGAAAACCAGTGGTTTAAAGCATTTTATAAGTATGTGTAAGTACGTGGTCTTGCATCTCCGAACTGGGCTGGTAGGCAGCTAAGCTGTGTCCATTAGCCACTGTGTCAGACACTATCTTGGGTGTTTGTGTGGTTGCCATCTTGTTGTAATTCTCAGGACAGCCCTGTGCGGTGGAGATTATCCTTATATTGCAGGGAGAAAACCGAGGCTCAGGAAGATCAGTAACTTACTAGATGTCAGATAGCCACTATGTTAGGTGGATTTTGAGCCCAGATCTGCCTATCTGTTTGTACTATGGTACTTCAGGTATTCTTTTCCATCATCTGACTAGATGGCAGGATTTAACTACCTGCCCTTCAATTAAGTTTAGGGTAGGTGCACAGAATTCAAAAAACTGACAGCGTACAATGAAAAGATGTTCTCTCACTCTTGGGTCCTAGATCTAACCAATATTATTCCTTTTACAAAGGAATTTCATGTTTATACAAAGAGGTATGTGATGATGGGATATTGTCCTTGAGCAAAGTAGTCTAATGAACATGTTAGTTTTATATTCTTTTTAAATTCAGTAGGTTGAGGTACCAGTTGATTTGTAGGAAGACAGAGCTCTTAGAATATATAGATAGTATCAGCTCCAACCCTGAAGATCTTTGCCCTCGTGAGAGCTGGAAAAGGAATCATCTGGTTAAAGGCCTCTCTGCAGTTTTCACAGAGCATCTTGAAGTCATTTTACACTGCCACTCAGTATCCTTTGTGCAAAGGTCAGTTTCTTCTAGAAAAAATTCTGCCTCATACCTGATTTCTTTAGTTCTTGTTTGACAGTAATAAAATAATCAAGGCTTTTCTCATTTGCTGGCTTATTCAGTTCTCAAATCTCCAGTGTTGTGTGGGCCTTTTCACTTGATTCTTGGGGAATCTGAAAGGTGTAACATTACTTTCCTACCTCCTGGACCTGTGCTTCTGAGGACAGGCAATGTCACACCTTCAGATTTGTGTTTGTTGGTAGCATGAAGGCAGGACCTATGCCTATCCTGTTCACTCCACTGTCCTCAGTGCTAGGCATGTCACAGATGTTTGGTAGGTATGGAGGGAAGGAGTGAATAAATGAGTGTGCACTAATTTACTACGATCTCTTCTTGAACTTTGTACCCTGGACCTTCTGGTCCTGTGCCTGTGACCTTTCCACTCTGGCCATGTTTTTGACTCCCAGGTCTGCTTGGGTGGAAGGAGGGAGGCATGGCCTTCGAGACTGTAAACTTTACTGGAAATGTTATTTTTATTTAAAATAATACATGTGTTATAGAATAGAATGTAAAACTGACATGAATTATTAAAGTAGGAGAATTCAGAGAAATCTTAGATTTACAGCAGTCCTCTCCAAACCGTGTACCCAGACCCCTGTCTGTACTGCATGAATCCATCTAGTAGTCCTCCTGGGGTCCATTTGTGGGTTAGTTTGAGAAGCCTACAGTTGCTGCACTGTCTCATGTTGCATTCCATCTGCCAAAGATTCTGTCTTTGGATTCTCACAAGAGTTGTAAGCCCAGGGCCATGTGTGACTCCCTTTGTTTCAGTGAGTTAAGAGAAGACAGTTAGTTGGAGAACACCATGGTGTCCTTTAGAGATAGCTTGCCCTATTCAGTTGTGGCTGGTTTTTTTTTTTTGGTACCGGGGATCGAACTTGGGTCCTTGTGCTTGCACAGCAGGTGGCCAAACCACTGAGCTAAATCCCCAGCCCATTTGTGGCATTTTATAAATGAGTCCCCTGAAATTTTATACTGGAATGAGACAGGCCATGGTGTGGCCTCCCACTTATCCATTATTTTTTTTAAGCTGTAATATGTTCCCACTGCTGCAACCACCACATGCATGATTGTAAACAACCAGAAATAATTGCCTTGGAATGGTAAAAGCAAAGTGTAAATTTGCTTGGTGGAGGGCAAACCATTTTTAAATCAGCCTCACTTGTATGACATACATGCCTTGATATTTGAATGCTCTGGCTGTTAGGAGCTTGGAACATTTACATAATTGTTCCAAGTCTTGAGAAATCCAGGTCTTTCTTTTGAGACTACCAGTGTTTAATAATTCCCTTTTTCTTGTGCCTTGAGGCTAACGAGGGTTTTGAATCTAACATCTGCTATTACAAGCACTGCATAGTCTGTGCTGGAAGTGGTTTGCCCACTATGGGCATTTGTGTGTCTTGTATCTTACACTGTTTCTTTTCTTTTCTTATCTTGTGTGGAAGAACATTGAGCTCAAGGTGGAAGTAGAAAGTCTGAAGCGGGAGCTGCATGAGAAAGAGCAGCTGCTCATCAAAGCCTTGTGAGTACTTGTCATCCTGTCAAAAACTTGGTCTCAAGGGTTCTTGTGGTAGCTACGAGGCTGGTCACTGACATAGAACCAACTGCATTTCTAAGCCATTGGTTTTCCAACTGGCCTTTGAGGACCCCTCAGGAGGTTTTACTTTTTACTTAATTACTTATTTTGCAACTAGCTTTTAAAGTACAACACACTAGATGACGAGGACTTAAGTGTACAGCATGATGGATTTTCACAAACCGTGTATGCCACGGAGTCATCACAGGATCAGGAAGTGGAACCTTACCAGCCCTCAGAAACCCATTTTGTGCTCTCAAGAACTTACCCTTCCCCCCAAGATAACCACTGTTCTGATCACTGTCACTATGATTGCTTAGTTCTGTCTTTTTTCAAATTTTATATAAATGAAATTGTACAGTATGTACTCTTTTGTGTCTAGCTCCTTTCCTTAGCAGACTATTACTGAGAATGAGAATCTACATTTGGTTTTCTTGTCAAGTCAGGTGTATCTGAGGAGGTCCTGAAAGGTGAGGCAGGGAGGCAGGACTGGCTTCAGTCAGAAACTGTTGTTAAAAATCTGTTACCTGTACTAGAGTTCCTTGTAATGGTTTGTTTGAAAGGTTTGAATGGTTTTTTTCTTTTATTTAAAAAATTTGTAAATGAGTATTTTCATTAATTAGTTCATTTACTTAGATATTCTTTGAATAACAAGCAGAGTTTAGAGAATACAGCCCATGGACCAGTTGGTTCTTCATTCATTCATTACCATTGATTATGTAATTACTTGTGCCACACACTGAGAATCTCCCAGAGACTGCTGAGAAGTATGTCACACCCGTAGATTAGTGGCATGTAATGGAGGAACAGCCATAGAGGCATGTATGGGAAAAATGAGGACACCAAAGCATGCTCAGTTGTGCTCAGTTTTCCATTATACATGGAAACCCCAACTCACAAGGGCTTCTGTGCATTCCTCAATACCAACACACAGGATGGAGCATTGGTGGGCTTGTGTACAAGTTTGTATGTCCAGCCTGCTGTTGAAGGCCTATTGTGATCTGATTAGATTTATTAACTTCTTCAGGAAATATTTGTTAAGTAGGGTGAGAGTAGAATAAGAGGGTTATCGACCTGCCTCTGCCCGGGGCTGCCCTTGAGCTTATGTGGAAATGCTTCATTTATCTGGACAGCAGAGCTTCTGCTGGGTGTGGTGGGCCAAGAGAATGGAGCCTGGGTTAGGGCACAGCTGCACTGCTCTGGACCAGGCCAGGATAATTCCTTTCACTGCCACAGGGTCCAGCAGCTGGAAGTTGGCCTATGTTGGCTTTGAGCAGATTAGAGGCCCAGGCTTATCTTCTGAGTTATGCTGAACTTGGACACATCGTATTTTCTGAATGAGTGGATGAATTAATAAATATAGTCAGATTAACAAGGTTTTTTTTGGTAATTTTCTTTGAAGCACATCATTCTCTGGGCAGTGAGGCAAATCAATTTTACTAGGCCTAAAGACCAGTAATAGAATTTGATCTGTTTCATACTAATTTCCCTGCCTGCTGCAGGTCTTGGCTGGGAGTTGCTTTTAGCTAAGCATGTACATGTGGAAACCCCAACTCACAAGGGCTTATGTACGGGCCTCAGTGCCAACACACAGAAAGGAGTGTTTTGGGGGCTTGTGTACAAGTTTGTGTCCAGCCTGCTGTTGAAGGCCCTTTGTGATCTGACCAGCCTTATTAACTTCTTTAGGAAATATTTATTAAGTAGCTACTGTGTGCTGCACCGGACAAGGTTCCCAGGGATACAGTGGTGATTGACACAGATGCATGAGGGTTACTTATATTCTAGTGGAGGTGATGGTGATAAAATATCTGCAATAACAAATGTATGCATAGAAATTGGGAGAAGAATTATCAAGAGAAAAATAAAGGGTGCAATGAGAGTTTACAGCTGTGGGAGTAGATATATAGACACAGATATGTATCTATACATAGCAGGGAAAGTGTCCCTGTGGAGGTGACATTTGAGATGAAATCTGAGTCATAAGTTGAAATTAAGAAGGTAAATGGATGAAGTCTTCAAGGAGAAAGGAATGTCTGAGGAAACATGAGAAGACTAGAACAGTCATGGTTTTGGTCTTTATCCTAAGATCAAGTAAGCAAGTGTCACTAGCAAGAAGTTTTGTTATTGAAAAAGTCGCTCTGGATGCTGGTGGGAAGTGGATCATAGAGGAGCCTGAGTAGAGCCAGGGAGATGAGTTAGGAAGCCAGCCCAGTGGGGGGAGGCGAGAGCTCACTGTTGGAGTCAGTGGGTGGGTGGGAAGGGAAGACATTTAGGAAGCACAATCAGCAGCCCCTGGTGTTGCACAAGAAGGGGGATGTCAAGGATGACTCCTGTCCAGAGCTGTGTTTGAGAATGTTTGGAGTGACTTTACCTCTCCACCATCTCAGCTTCCTCTCCACCATCTCTTTGACCCACATGCAGCTCAGAGACACTCCAGCTTTCCTTTTCGCTGCTGCTGTGACTTTGGCCCAGCAGATCTCTTTCTCTTCTCATCCCGCCCAGCCCAATGCCTTCCCATCACCTTACCCTTTGTAAAGGTTCAGACACACACAGCTTCCCTGGCCCACACCAGTCTCTCCACAGCCTTCTCTGGTGTGCAGTGGCAATCCCATACATGTAGTGCTTTTCAGTTTATAAAGCACTTCACATCTATTTGCATTGCATCATTATCCTGGGAGCTGGGGAAATCTCAAGGAATCCCCTCATTGTGTAGGGAAGGAATGCAGGCCTGGTGAAGGGAGGAGCCATGACTCCGAGCCAGAAATGTCAGAACTGTGACTAGAACACAATTCCCTGATGCCTGGCCCAGCACCAGCTTTCATGTTCTGTTTTTTAACTTTCATGTGTAGATGTAGTATATGCACAGTATCTCTGTATGCCTGTTCAATGACAGCGTCTACCCTATAACTGCTAAATGTGCCTTTCTGTTTGTCCCTAACTACCCAGCACCCACAGCATGTCTATGGTCGATACTTGCTGATGGAGAATATCTTTATTAATGTAATGCCTTCAGCTCCATTTTTCAGTGTTAGGATTTTTTGGTATGTGATCTTTCATAGGAAAATAAAACAACTTGTCCTTGGAGAACTATGATTAGGATGAAAAGAATCCAGAGGAAATGTTGAGGTAACAGTGCTAGTGTTTATAGAATGTTCTTTCTTGGTATTGGGTGGAAAACTGGATTAAACCAATTTCCCCTTAGGTCTTACTATGTGCCTTGTCTCTTGGACCATATTCTGCAAGAAAAGAAAGGGTAAGGTGGTACATGCCTGTAATCCCAACACTTGGGAGGCTGAGGCAGGAGGATTGCTGCAAGTTTGAGGCCAGCCTGGGCTACATTGTGAGCTTAATACCACCCTAAATTACATAGCAAGACTGTCCCAAATAACAGACAAACAAACAAACAGGCCAGAAGGTGAAACCACCAATGATTAAGATCCACTTGGTCTCAAACTTAGCCCCTGTGCCTAGCACACGCTTTATTGCATTTGATCTTCACAATTAGGTGAGGCAGTCTGTGTTCCCATTTTCACGAAGAGAAAAGTGAGGCCCAGAGGAGGAGATGAACTTGCTCAAGCTGGTAACTTAACTGGGTCTGGTCTGGCTGCAGAACCCATTCTGTCCTGGGCCAGGGATTCAGCTCAGTGACACCGCGCCTGCCTCGAAAGCCCAAGGTCCTGAGTTCGATCTGTGGTACTGGAAAAATAAAAAAAGAGGCTCATAATAGAATCCATTCTGCCTTACTGTGAGGCAGACATATTTGCTTGTTGGTTTTCTGTTATTATATTTGTCAGTTACAATAAGGGTACATTAAAAACAAAAGCAGTCATATTGTTGGGAGTAAATTTTATCTCTGCTGCTTTAAAACACACAAAAAAATAATAATTCCATTAGCATGAGGAAAATTGCACCATACTGCTGAGTATAAATTTTATTGCTACAGTAAGTGAAAAATACAAAGATGATAAATGAAAAGTTGGAACATTTATTATTGAGAATGTATTTTATTGGTATAACTAAAACACAAACAAACTGAATAATACCAGTAGTTGTTAAAAATTGTAGTCAGCCTCTTGACAGTGGATGTGATTCAGCCCATAATACGCCAAGGTTTGATCTGGCTGATTGTTTGCCCTTTGCGGGTGGAGGGGTGGGTAGGAGTCACAGAGGGGAGCTGTTTTAGAGAGGGCCCCATTAAATCCCAAGGCTAAGACATTTGTGAATGTGTAGCAGAAATTCAGGAGTAGAAAAATCCTGTTATCTCCCGCTTGGAAAGGAGGGGCGGTGTTTGTCTAGAATTCCTTTGCCTGTCTGTTGTGCCCCTTCAGGAGTTACAGAAATGACGATGAGTCATTGTGAATCTGTGACAGCACTGATCCAGAGTGAGCCAAGGGAGTGGGGCTGAGGATACTTAGTGGCATTAATCAGGAAGTGGACATGGTGGCCCTGGTTCTGGCCAGGAGATGATCTGTTTTCAGCTGAGACCCCAGCAGAGGGGTGGCAGGTGGCCTCTCTCAGCCGCTCTGTGTGGCCAGTGTCGCCTAGGCCTCAGGGGAGTGGCCTCCTCGCATGCAGAGCACTCAGATTCCACATGAAGAGCCTCGTTGTGTGTTAGACATTAATTCTAAGAGATAATCTCATTTTTCACATGAGGAAACTGAGGTATAACAGGCAATTTACTGAGGCTGGGTAATTTACCCAGAGTCACACTGGGGATAGAGCACAGCAGGAATTTAGAAGCAGATTTCTCTAGCGTCAAGCCTGCGTTCTCCCTTTCCATCGTTGTTCACAGTGAATTCCATTAGTATGATATCACAACACTGGGGCCTTTTGAAGCTTTGCTGGCAAAAGGAAAAATGGATGTGAATAAAGTATTTGCAGATGACTCCTGTTTGAGACTTGGATGGCAAGTGTGGCCCTCTTGATTTTCCATTGTTCTCATTAAAAAGTCCGTGTGGCCTGAATGTATGAATAGGTAACACAGCTCTTGGTTGGGGAAATTTTATATACCTCTAAAGTAGGGCACGAGAGGCTCGTGGTGAAGAGATTGTTTTTTCTGTTGCAGTTTTTCTGAGAAACTAGCTTTAGGTGGAGCCATTTCCTCTGTTATCCTGCTTTTTGGAAACCTGCAGTCATTTAGTAATCTGATGAGGACTGCTTAGAGTCTGAGTCTGAGACTCTCATCCAGCAGTGTTTTACTTTCCGTGTCAGTGAGTGTGGCCCTGTGTCTGTTGGTGCTGTCCCTAGCACGGATTGTCATGCAGAGAGAATATTCCAGGTGCTGCAGGGGGTGTGCCCTATGCATTTTATGGTTCAGTAGCAGAGTGTAGAAAGCTTGCATAATCTCCCTTCTTTGTGCCCTGAGTGGTAGCTTGTGCTCAAACAGATTGTGCTGACGTTAAAATGCTTTCCCCTCCGGTTGGTACAAGATAAAGCGTACAGACCCTTAATCCAGCAGATTTATTTTTGTTGCATATTGTTCCTTTGCAAGTCAGTTTGTCAAATCACCTTTCCTACCCCACTGGTACAAGTGAGCTTTATTGTAAGCTTCCTGGTGGGATATTTGGCTATAGGGAAAGTGACCCAGTGACTCTTGTTCTAGGAATTTATCCTAAGGAAATCACTGGATAGAAGACATACAAGGATGCTTTTATCATAGCACTGCTTATTATATTAAGCAGTGACACTAATGCTTATTGAATGGTTGCTTTGTACCAGGCACTGTTCTCAGATCCGTTTGAATTTTATCACACAGATATGTTAAATCAGAAACAGTGTAAAATATAGGAAATTGATTTAATAAATCATATATATTTCATACAGTGAATTAATGTGTAGCCTTTAAAATGATGTTATAGATTTATATTTATTGACACAAAAGAATGTTTGTAATGTATTAAGTAATAAAATGAGTTCACTGACATATACTAAATGGTTTTAATTCTGTGGAAAATGTCTGAAAGGCTATATAATAAAATATTGACTTGACTTCCTGAGTGACAAGATTACACATGATTCCTGTCTTTTTATTATCTATGTTTTAAATTATAAATATTAATTTTAAAAAAGCCTGGCTCAGGAAAGTGGGAGAAATGACTAACAAATATCTCCTGTTGGATGTGAGGGTGATCTGGCTGCAACATCTGTCACCCCGTTGGTTGCCAGGGTTGATTCGGCTGATCTGGCTGGCTAGGCAGGGGTCTCCTTCTCCCGCAGTGCTCCCTGAGGCTATGTACTTGGTTGAAGTGGACGACCACCCCCGATAGATGAGGGCTGTTTTCTTGGCCAAAGGTGTACAAATAGCTGCTCTCTACTGCTAGGACCTCCAAACAAACTGTCAAGATACAAACATCCCCCGTGTCTTTGGGCCTGTGAGACTGTCACCTTCATGTGTTTTGCCCTTTGCCTCTTTCTGCAGCAAAGCGGTTGAGAGCTTGGCTGAAGGGGGCGGCTCTGAGATTCAGCGGGTGAAAGAAGATGCTTGGAAGAAGGTGCAGCAGGTGGAAGATCGCCTGACCAAAAGGATACTCCTCCTAGAAGGGGCAAGTCTGGAAATCCAGAGGGCTCTGTGCTTCTTACACTGGGTTAATAATGGGAGGAACACAATCTTATTCCTTTTTCATAAACTGTTTCAGCAGAAACAACAGCCCCCTCTCCCTTACTGAGTGTCTCCTGGGCTCTGGCCCCATTTTGGACATTTCACATATGTAATTTATAACCCTTTCTCACACCCTGCAAACTGACCACTGGTGTCTTCATTCCCATGGGAGGACACTGAGGTACTAACAGGGCCCCATTTAATCTTGAGCTTAAAGCTGTGACTGCTATTTTAAAGCCTGTATTCTTTCTACAACACCCCTCTGCTATCTACTTCGGTTCTTTTACTTTACAGATGAGGAAGCTGAGGCCTAGAGAAGGGAAGGACTTAACCTGCTGTTGGCCAGCCTTAGAGCCAGCCCATCCAGCTTCTGTCTGCCATGTCCACCTTCCATCCAGCCACACTGCCCGTGTTCATTGAATATCTTTTCTGTCAGGTCTTGCATGTAGCTTCTCCTCCTTGTTCTTAGGAATTCCCTGTGATTATGGTGGGAATCAGTTTGTTCCCTGGATGTTGTAAAGTTTTCTTCCGTTTTAAGCTAACATTCAGTAACACAGGTTGAATAGTCCTTATCTGAAATGCTTGGGACCAGAAGTGTTTCACATTTGGGGTTTTGGGATTTTGGAATATTTGCATATATGCAATGAGACATCTTAGGGATGGAACTCAAGTCTAAACATGAAATTCATTTGTGTCTCATATATACATAGTCCGAAGATAGTTTTATATATCTGTAATGTGCCTGCATTTGACTGCATCTTGTCATCTGAGGTCTCGTGAAATTTTCCACTTGTGATATCATGCTGGTGCTTAGAAAGTTTGGGATTTTGGAGCATCTTGGAGTTTGGAGTTTTGGGTTAGGAGTACTCAGCTTATACTGATTGTTTAATTTTTGGTCTTTGAAGTTGTTTCATCTCAAGTTTTCTACCTGAAACTCTGGTTCTTTTTAGTATATACAGAGAATAATGATACCAAAAAGCAGTTTTGGAAATAAAAAGGCAGATACAGTATCTTTCAGCTCACACTTTCCATTCATTACATGCATGTCAGCCCTTGTCTCCTTCTCGTGGGGCATTTAGCTGTTAGGCCCAAAGTACAGATGAGGAAACTGAGGCTCAGAAAAAGTTGAGAAACGGTCTAAGTCATAAGTGACAAAACTGTAACCAAAACCAGGATTTTCTGGAGTTTAGTTAATTGTGATGCTTTTAAGAGATATAACCTATTGATTCAGTCACCTTATTCTGTCAGGAAATGCTTCCCAGTACCCTCGGGTACCTGGTTTCTGTTCTGTCACTTGCTGTCTTTATCACCTTGCATGAAGCATTTGCCTTCCCTGAGCCTGTGCTTCCTCACCTGTGAAGTAAGGATAGTGCATCTGCTCTGCAGCAGTCATTGTAATAACAAGAGTGGTTCTGACAGACTGGTGTAGGCTTATACTGGGGAAGGCACCTCCTAGGCCTTTATGTACACTGACTTAATCAGTCCTTTAAGTTAACTGACGAAGTAAATATTTTCATCACCCTTTTCCTTTTTCTTTCTTTTTTGAGCAGATGATGGGCCACTGTGTTCCCTCTTGAATGGTTACCGCCCTCAGGCTGTAGGGTGTACTTCTTCTCCTACTTTTACTTGGCCTGAACTCGGTCTGCAGAGCCTGTTAATAAAACTTTGCTACCATCAAAAAAAAAAAATAAACAGATGATGAAGCAGGCACAAAATGCCCAGGTCACTTGCTCAAGGTCATATGGGCAATAAATGTCAGATGGTCTGGCTGCTGACCTGGATTCTACACTGCTATACTCTCTCAGTATATAACGTTTTAGGGTTGGGTGAGGATCAAATATGATATAAATAAAGCTTCTTGCTCAGAGCCTGGCATTTAGTAGGCACTAAGTAAATAATAGGCTTTGTTGTTCACTGTCTAAGAGTATGGGAGATGTGTTTTCCTAGGTTTCATTAAGTCTGACAGGTGAGTTTCTGGGGTAGATGGTGCTGGGGAGGTACTGTACAGGGAAAGGGCAGGGAGAAGGAAGCCAACAGTTTTTGAGCTTCTTGTGATGCAGCTGGTTTTGGACAGAGCCTCACAGACGCTCTTTGATGGAAACGTGGTTGTCCCTGTTACATAGATTTATAAACCTCAGAGATGTCGTAGGTAAGTAGGAGAACTGGGGTTTCAGCCCAGTTTGATTTCCCTTTATCTCTGTGATATAATCAAAGGCAGTGAGTATGAGTAGTGGAGATTCAGACCAACTGCCGGGTCCCTTGCATAAGCACTGAGTTCTTTTCCCTGAACAGAGACAGTGCCTGCGTGGTTTAGGTAATTTTCTTGATGGCTGAGCTCTCAGGAAAAACAGAGTTTTTCACCACCTCAATCTCCTTGGAGATATAGAAAATGTACTTTAGAATTGTGTAGTTATTATCTTAAAAAAAATAGTGAGGGGGGCGGTGGGGTGTGGGATGAATTCGTATGGAGATTAAGGTGGCTCTTTGTAATTTATGTATGTTTAGTAGTGAGAGGTGCATTTTCTCCTTGTTCTCATTGAAGCTGTAAATATTGATCTGATTTTTCAAAAAAGCACAGTTTTTGTAGAGTTGACTCTTTTCCATTGGAAATGCCTATTACTCTTCAGGATACAAGAGGGAAAAATGGCTGGCAAATGTATTTATTACTGATTCTTCCCTTGTATGGTACAATTCAGGGAGGGGAAATGTGCTGGAGAAAAAGTCATAAATATTTATATTTTAATCCAATTTCCTTTCAAAATGTTCCCAATTGTATTGAAAAATTGCATCAAATGCATTTAATTTAACTCTAGGATGTGAAAGCCGCCCAAGCAGAACTGGAAAAGGCCTTTGCAGGGACAGAAACAGAGAAGGCTCTTCGGCTGAGCTTGGAAAGCAAGCTTTCAGAAATGAAGAAGATGCATGCGGGTGACTTGGACATGGCTCTGGTCCTGGAGGAGAAAGACAGGTCTGGCTCTGGTCCCTGTGAAACTCTAACATCTCATTACTGGCAGCATGGGGAAAGGATTGTTCTCTTCCCTTCCCTTCTCTCATTGTTTCCCACAGAACTTGAGTGACTTGCTGGAACATATCCAGCACAGTAAGGTAGAAAACGAGGGGTGAAATCAGGGTAGAAAGGAGTAAGATAGTAATGTGAGGACAGAGACAGAATTAGTAAATAGAAATTCATATTGAAAAGTTCTACTTAGATGCATAATCAATCTTGCATTCAGTTTTGGCTATAAGCTTCCTGCTAGCCAAAGGGAAAAAGGAAAAACAATCTTGGTGGACATGAGATTTGCATTACTCATAAGGTAAAACAAGCCCGTAAATCAAGAGAAGCCTAGTTTTACTTGGCACTGTCAGAGGGAAATTTCTCTGTGGTTCTTTCCAAAGGGAACATCAGTGACCATGTAGTGAATTTTGTTTGACCTGTATTCCATTGCATCTTTTTTTTTTAAGTGCTAGGGATTGAACCCAGGCCTTGTGCATTCTAGACAAGTACTCTCCACTTAGCTACATTCCCAGCCCCTCCTTACATCCTTTAATGCTGGCAAGAGGCACAAATTATTATAGTGCAAGGGCCCCAAAACAAAGCATTGACCAAATATAGAATTCTTCAATGATCTGGAATAAAATGTATGCTGTTTAGTTCAGAGAAGTGGAAGGAGAGTTGGGCCTCTGGGCATCTTTATGTTAATCATATCTTGTAACCATTCTGTTGATACAAATTTGTTATGATAAAGATGTGATTTTATTCTTTACCATGAATCTTTTGTTTTGGTACCTTTGCTCTGTTTTGGTGCTCACTAAGTGGAAGATTGAGTTAATTAACTATAAGTGAGACAACCCGGTGACCTATCTGTTGAAAAGCCAGACTTGTATGAAATTTGATGGAAATCGTAATTACTCCTGAGATTCTTTCCGTGGTTCCTGTCCTTGGTCACTCGGTGCCCCCTGCAGTGGTGCTGCCATCACATTGTGGTCAGATGCTCTTTGCTTTGATGTCTGTCTCAGTGCCACTTTTTAAGATTGGAGTCTGCCATTTGTTTTTGTTTATGGGTTGGGAAATCAGATTAGCAACCCTTTTAGGATTATCTGTGAAAGACGGTAAATAAGCCCTATGGGAAAGCCCATGGTTTCCATGTTTATTTAAGTGTCATAACTTGAGCCTTTGGAGGAGCTAGTATTCATTAGGTGCACTGCAGCCTTTTCTTAGCTTTGGTCTGGAAAATGGAAGTTTTGTGATTAGAGAAGTGAGTTTTCTGTGAACCTCGGGGGAGTGAATGAATATCATCTCAGTTTACTCATTTGAGACCTGTGTTTTTCTTGGCCCCAGTGCAAGGAAGAGAAACCTCCATGGAGGGTGCCTTTTTGCTGAGCTTCTCCCTCAGGGTGTTGACCTTTTCATGCATCATCTGCAGAGTCAGGAGCCACTAGACTATGAGAAGTTCTACACAAATACCTTACATTCTGTAGTGTTTGTCCCAACTGATCATCAGTGAAGCCCTTAGAGAGCTTATAGACTCATCTTCCTGGGGAAACTACAGGCTCCTGGCAGGTGGATTAGAGGTGGAGGGCCTAGGGAATGGAATAGAATAGAATGTGTGGGCAGCCATCAGAGAGGAAAAGTCAGAATTCCTGCCGGGGATTTAGCTCAGTGGTTCTGCCGCCTGCCTTGCAAGCACAGGGTCCTGAGTTCAATCCCCGGTATAAAATAAAACCCCCAAAACCAAAAATCAGAATTCCTGGAGCCTATGAAAGAGAAGAAAAGGGAGCGCTTGGAGGGGGTTTGCAAAGAAGTCCTGGGAGAGAATAATTGGAAAGGTCCTGGGAGGGACCTGATAGATGCCTGGCACGTGATTCATTGGTTCCACTGGATCATTTATGTCCTTTATTCAACAAGTACTTCCTGTGCATCTGGTACACAGCAGTGATAGTCCCTCTCTTTCACTGTGTAAATTTAAGCTTACCATCTATTTAGATGGAAGGGCTGGACGACAGGAACAGAATGATAAGGGTAGATGGGAAAATGTTGGGTTAACATAATACTCACCAAATTCAGTTTAGAGGGATTAGAAAGAACTTCCTGGAGGAATACAGTTGTCCCCAACCACCCCACCCCAGGGGATGAATTGCAGGACTCCCAGTGGATGCCTGAAACCTGCTTTACGGAATCTTGAATATATTGTTTTTTCCCATACATACCTTTGATAAAGTTTAATTTATAAAGTAGGAGATTAACACCAATAATAAATAGAATAATCATAATGATATTCTATAACAAAGGTATGTGAATACGATCTCTGTCAGAATCTCTTCTTGCAGTGTATTTACTTTCTTTTTTTTTTTTTTTTTGGTACCGGGGATTGAACTTGAGTCCTTGCGCTTGCGCAGCAGGTGGTGAAACCACTGAGCTAAATCCCCAGCCATGTATTTACTTTCTTGTGACGATGATGGTGCGGTGTCTGTGTGGCGACATGAAGTGAGGTGGATGACGCAGACCTTGTGATGTAGCTTTAGGCCACTATATGCAGCTTACTTGAACACAAGCACTCCGATACAGGTGATCAAATCACCAAGGTGACTACTAAGTGACTAAGGTGGGCCACGTGTACAGTGTGGATGTGCTAGACAGAGGGATGATTTGTGTAGGGGGGAATGGAGCTGCACACTATGAGGTTTTATGCTAATCAGGATGGCATGAATTTTAAAAATATGAATTATTTGTTTCTTTGCTTTTCTGCTTAATATTTTTAGACCTTAAGACTGACCAGTCAGCTTTGTAGGTAACTGAACCCACAGAAATCAAAAGCATGGATAGCGTTGACTACGTACTAGGGTCAGAGGAATTACTTGGACAGAGAAAGGGAAGGAAGGGTGTTCCAGGCCCAGGGAACAGTAGGTGTGGAAGTCCATAGGCAAGAGGGAACATAATGTGACCTAGGCGGGGAAGGATATGCTGCAGGGCCTGACTTGTGTTCTGGAAGGGAGGTGGGAAGAGGTGAGGGGAGGGAACCTGAGGAGGTCATGTGGGGCTTGTGGAAGAATTCGGATTTTATCCCCAAAGCATGTTAGAAGCCTCTAAAAAGTTAGTGATGGGGCTTGAGGCATGACAGCATCAGAGTTAAATTTAAAGATATTTTCCTAGCCACCTCTGGGAGATGAGTGGATGCAGGGTCAGGGTGGAAGACTGGTCTTAGCTGACACAGACATCCAGACAGGAGTGAGTGGTGGACAGGACTGTGGGGACAGAACTAGGAATGGAGGACAGGCAGAGAGAGAAGTGGACTGGCCATGTGGGCTTGAAGGGCTTGATGGCTGACTGGCTGACTGGATGTAGGCCTGTCCCAGGTCCAAGCGTGAGCCGCTGAGGGATGGTAGTGCAGCTTGCTGAGTTTGGGGGGAGAAGGAAGAAAGAGGACATGTTTTGGGTGAAGGAGTGGGGACATGATGCTTTCAGTTGGGGGTGGAGGGATCTGTGAGGTCTGTGAGCAGAGCCGAGGAGGTAGGTGGGTATAAGGTTTAAGGCTTGAATCGAGGCAAGTACAGATTGATTCCTTAACTAGCTGCTGAGCATGGCTTGGGCATGTGTGTGAATGTAGAGGTAACTCAGCTTATATGGTTCTGGTTATATGGAGCTCCTGGTGTGGGAGAGGAGATAGGAGTGTCCTGATTGATGCTGTGACACGGGTGAGTTCAGGGCTCTGTGCTTGGGTGTGGGGCAAAGAAAGCTCATCAGAAGAGAAGTCCTGGGTATAGCTGCATAGAGGGAACAGCAGGGGTACAGAAGCTGGGGCATTCATGGCCAGCGCAGAGGAAAGCTATCCCCAGCCATGTGTACTGTGGAAGCTTGACTTCTCATCCTTTTTGGTGGAGGGCGTTTGGGAGGTGTTTCCTGTGGTGTAGGTCATGGGTCGTCCATGGATGTGGGTGCTCAGGTCAGGATGTGGCTGAAGACTGCGATTTCCTGGGGTTTCCCATAGGTCAGGACAGACAGCATAGAATGCGTTTGTCTCAGGGGTAAAGGTGTCCAGGCACACTTGCAGTCAGCAGCAGCCAGTTGCCAACTTGATTTCGGCTCAGGGTGTGACCTTCTTGTGGTGAAACTCGGTGGGGACTAGGTTCAGTGTGTGCCCTCCCTGAAAGGAGCCTGCTCACAAAGCTGCATCCAGGTCAGAAGGGTACTCAGCATTGGAGCAGACTGCTTGGTTTTGTCCTGGCGAGATGGGGCTTGATCCACCACACAGAGTGGGCACTGCTAGGCAGGCCAGACTGTTGACTTTTGAGGCCCCAGACCCCTGCTTGGATGGAGTGTCTGTTTGAGCTACCACCTTTTTCAAAGATATGTGTTTTAGCCACTTGATTTCCTTCAATCTAGCCTTTGAGCTATTCTTTATCTTTAAGGCAGTCAATGTTGTAGGTTGAGTATGGTCAACAAAATTATTTCTTCAGGCTACACAGTATTTTAAAGTTTGAATTAATTGCAATATTTAAAACATCAAATTTCATGTACAAGTCTGGATTTCCAGTTCCCTTGGAGACCTGGAGAAGCAGCAGCACTGGACGCATCTTGCTGGAGAAGGCCATTGTTCCTGTCGATGGGCTGGTGCTTCAGGTCCTGGTCCCCACCAGGCCTGCCCCAGTCTTTTCATTCCCTATCTAGGAACTTGCTTTGTGTCTAATTAAAAAAAAAAAATCAAATCTTTTGAGTTGTAAATTACAGACAATACAAGGCATCTATTTTAAGTATATAGTTTGGTAACTTCTTGCCTATCCAATTGATTGTTATGATTTCAGAGCTGAACCCCTAGAGGGCAACCTTACTCCTCCCTGCAGGTTTCTGGGGCATCTCACAGGTGCTGCTGAGCACCCTGATCTTAAAGCATTGCTAAGTGTTTCAGTTGCCTGTATCTCCCTCCCACCTCCTGGGTGCTTCCTGAGTGCAGCTCTCCTGGAATTTGGAGTCTCTTTCTACCATGCTGAGTTGAGTCTAGCTTTAGCTACAGAAAAGGCTGCAGAAAGGGTCCACTGACAAAATGCTAATTGTTGAATGTAAAAAAAAGTAATTATAGCGACTGTCATTTGTTGAATTCTGCCATGTGCCAGGAGCTGTGCAGGGTTATTTAAAATAGCTTATCCGTAATTCATGCGAGCAAGTTATACCATTTTTTTTGGTACCAGGGATCAAACTCGGGACTTTGCACTTGCATGGGAGGCACTGGAATCACTGAGCTAAATCCACAGCCCTAGTTATCCCATTTTAAGCTGAGGAAATGCAGGCATAGAAAGGTTGAATAACTTGCTATGGTCAGGAAGCAATTGACTTGGGGAATTTTGTGGCCCAGACACGGATGCATTCAGCTCTCCCTAGTATGCTGGGAAGACCTTCCTTGAGGGGAAGCTGTTTAACTACCTCAGATGGGAAGAATGGGTGTTTATCAGGTGGAGGTGAGGTGAGCTTGGGGAGGGCATTCCAGGCAGAGGGCATAGCATACCCAAGGGATAGAGGCACAAAACAGCCTAGCTTTAGGGAGAGCCGCAAGTGAGTGGTGGTGCACAGGGTGGTGGTCTCCTCTGGGAGGAGACTGAGACTGTAATAGCCCTAAAAGTTAGGGCCTTGAATGGCTTGCCCAGAACTTTTGCCTTTAGCTTGAAAGTCAGTGTGTTTTTAAGCTTTGTCCTGAGAAGCTGTGGAGAGGCATCTTTGTTTTTCTCACTCTCACTAGAAGTGCTCTCAATGGGTTGTGTTTGCTTAGAAATCTATGGCAAATTTCTTTCAGAGAGAGGATTTCTTGGGAAAAAAAATATAAGTTATTCATTGCTGTCGGTGGGGGCAGTTGAAGGTCTTGGAGCAGAGGTGTGACATGACCAGTCCATAGTCCGGCAGCCCAGAGTTGGATCAGCTGGGGCCAGGCTGAGGCAAGGGGACCTGTTAATGCACACAGATTCTTCTTGGCCCTCGATCTGTGACCTGCAGAATGTGATTTTATTTATGTTCAATCACTGGGCATGTGTACTTTGAAGAAGTCTGGTCCCATTTCCTACCTCCCTCTGCTCCACTGAGCTAAGAGAACAGCTTAGAATTAATATTTAAATTTTGTTCTCTTTTAGACTGATTGAGGAGTTGAAGCTGTCTTTGAAGAGCAAAGAAGCTTTAATTCAGTGCCTTAAAGAGCAGAAATCTCAGATGGCATCTCCTGATGAGAATGTGTCATCTGGAGAGCTCCGAGGCCTTTTTGCTGTTCGGGGGGAAGAAAAGGAGAGAGACACTGAGGTGAGGTGATGGAGTGTGAAGGGGGGCTGCAGCTGATCAGTCTCGTCTATGGGAGAGGGAACGCCATTCAGACTACAGTTTGCACACAGCTGGCTTCTGAATACAAGTTTCTTGTCGACAAGGGATCAGCAGAAACCGCATTTGTCATTGGCCCTGGCATATCCCCTACCTCATGTTCCTGTAAAGAGTTGGTTAAAAAAATCCTGCACTTGCTCACCTCTGTTTCACCCGTGTTAATGTGGTATTGCCTGGGGACTTTATTTTCACCCTTTGGGCTTTCTTAGGATAGGTTTGAGGTGTGTTGCACACATCCGTTTTACCTTTGTGGTTGAGGCAGGCTGGGGCCAACTTTGGATGGAAGCTTCAGAGGCAAGGAGAAAAGTGAACTAAGCATACTGGCCAGGTAGCAGGAAAGGGCTTCTGGGAATCATTCATTCCCCAGCCACCTGGAGAGGTAGAGTGCTCAGCTGGGAGAGTTTAGAATTAGGCTCAGAGGAGTTCTGTTTTTCCAAGCTCCAAGAAGGGGGTTACTAGTAGCTGACTCCAAAGTATGCTGGACTCCCCACCACTCGTGGCCTCCATGTCAAGCTCTTTGTGAAGGGTGGAAAAGTTGGGGAAGCACGGGTAGTTCACTACATGTGCTCCCTCTCATTGGCTGCTGTTCTGAATACTCAGGCGAGGGCTGGCTTTCCTTATGGAGGAAGTCAGTTAGTTTTTCATCTGGAATTGGCTGTTGTCTTCCATACCTCCTTTTAAGCCTCTTTCTCCTTCTCCGGGCCCTGTCCTTTAGAAGGCCCTTTTCATGTATTCTGCATCACCATGGTTTATTGTTGGTGAGGCTGGTGATCAACCATTGTGGATTGCTTGTTTTCACATTTTTCTTCACTCAAATCAGGTGGGACTTTGACTGGGACAGAGAGAAGGAGGGGGACTTGTTTTTTAATGAGTTCCACAGCAGTGGGAGAAAGGAGGGGAATGAAGTTTTTGATCTAATTGCTCTGGGAAAACTATTGGATTGTGAGTGCCATCCCTTCTGGTCACTAATGAATGGCTTTTCTTAGGCTGCACAAATGGAGTATCAGAAGGAGAGAAGACAGTTTGAAGAGAAGATCCAGGTATGTGGATACATTTAAAAAATTTAGTACAGATTTATCCTGTTCTTGTGTCTTATTTTATTTTGTGTCATAGCTGCCATTTATTGAATGCTACTGTGTGCCAGTCAAACTTCCGGCCTATTAGAGGAAGTTTCTCAATCTTTGAATAACTCTTTGAGGTAGACATTCCTATTCTGCAGATGTGGGGCCTGAGGCTCAAAAAGGTGAAGTTACTTGCCCAAGAGCATGTAGCTGGGAAGAAGCGTACCAAGGGTTCATACCTGCCAGTCTGATTCCAAGCCAGTGGTCCACGGCCCCCATCACAGCAATGGCATTTGTACAGTGCCTGGCAACTTAGTGCTCTCATATCCATTATCTCGTTTGATCCTCACAACAGCCCAGGAGGCAGGCAGCAGTGATTATCTTTAGAAATGAACTCAGACTGTAAATGTATAGTTCAGTCTCCATCAAACCAAATCCTGTGCTAGCTTTGTAGTATTAAGGAATGAAATTAATGATCTGTTATTTTCCCCCCAAATAACCTAGTACATATTCAAAGGCTCTGATGTGACTGTATTCAAATTTTAGAAGGCATTGGAGTCCTTCCCGTAGGAATAGCTGTCATTGCGGCAGCTGATCTGATCCCTTTCCCTTCACCCAGGCCTGTTGCTGTGAGCAGCAACACAGTAACTCAGAGCTGATGCCGCTATGTTCAGCCTGACTTGGAAACATTAATCACAGGTTGACAGGAGTGAGATAGAATAACTGCATCTGAGTGTGCTCTTAAAGATATATTTACAGTGCATTTTGGTTGGGACGCATCAACCTAGTGAATCTTTTTCTAATCTAATTTAGGCTCTTCAGGAGGACCTGAGAGAGAAGGAAAGAGAAATTGCTACAGAAAAGAAAAATAGTTTAAAGAGGGATAAAGCCATTCAGGGCCTAACCATGGCATTAAAATCAAAGGAAAAAGAGGTATGTGTGATACATTGAAGTGAGATTTTTCTTTATTAGTTTCTGTGACTGGCCTGTCCCACCCTGAATTTTTAGCTTTAGATAAAAAGCTCATAAGAGAGCTAAGATAGTATTAGAAAGTGGGGAAAGGATCCTTTAGTCAACTGGAAATCCTTTTTGAATATCAAATCCGGTGCTGACCAATAAAAATAAACTGTAAGTTAATCATATAATTTAAAATGTTCTAGTGACCAGTTAAATGAAGTGTTAAAAAACAAGTAAAATTAATTTTAATAATATATACCTTTCAGACATTACCATTTCAACATGTAATCAATAAAACAAAACTAACAATGAAGTTTTTTGTTTTTTTTTTTAAGTACTAAAAGGTTTGAATTTTAAGCTCTTCTTGTTTCAGACTCACCACACGTCATATGGCTGGTGGCTGTCCCATTGAACAGTGGAGATCTCATCTTTTGAAGGATAACAGAAAATTGAGATAAAGAAGTTTGGGGAGGCTTGGCTGTGACTGTGAACCAGTTAGGGAGCCACCTGGCTTGCTGGCCTTTGGGATCCCAGGCAGTGGCAGTGGTTGTTTTCGTGTCATGAGTTAGCATAGTGATGTGTTGTGTTCTGTAGCTGTGCTGGGTCCCAACACAGAGAAAGTAGCAGCTCTGCTTCCTAGTGGGGAGGGAAGAGTGAGAAGTGTTGTGGTTGAGGGAAGTGCAGGGGCTGGGGAGGCAGAGGGAGGACCTGATCAGATTAGGTGTGATGTGTGGAGCAGGGGATGTGCTTAGAGGAGAAGATGTCTGAGGTGAGTTGTGAGTTGTGAGTTCCTAGGGTGTTCCCTAGGAAGGGAGGCAGGGCCAGGGAAGGCATTTCGGAGAGGAGGAGGACGTTGGTCAGGGCTTCGGTTAGGAAAGAGCCTGACAAGTCATGTGTGTGGCATCACAAATGGTCTAGGGTTGCCAGAGTACAGCAAGAGATGAGAGGAGAAGCTGGACTGGTGCAAGGGGCCAGCCAGTGGTGGGACTAATCCTACTTAGCTGCTTGGGTGGCATGCTGCTGAGCGGGAGGGGCATGATCATATTTTCCTTTTGGAGAGGTCTCTGGCTGTGTTCAGAGAGTGAATTGCAGGAGGGCCAGAATGGAGGTAGAGAGGCCTCCCAGAAGCCTAGGTGAGAGCCAAGAAAACTAATGAGGGCTGTGGTTGTGGCAATTGGAATGGAGGGAGAAGGATGTATTCAAGAAACAAAACTAGAAATAATTAGAAATTGGAAATATAATTGGGAAAATCTGATGGTTAAATGTAGTACTTTAGAGAAGGAATGATCCAGGGTGAGTCTAGGTGTCTGGCTGGATGTCTTGCACGACTGGAGACCTAGGGGTGCCTCCCACTCAGTTCAGAGGATGCAAATGGAGTATGAGAGCAGGAGGGAGGCAGTGGTGCGGATGATGAATCTTTTGAGAAAGCACTGACTTTGGGGAGCCTGTGGACCCTCCAGGGTGCTGTCTAGGAGCAGAGGCTGTGCAGAGCTAAAGTGGAGAGAGCTCAGATTGAGGAGTTTAATCTGGGAATCACTTCTTCATTTGTGAGAGTTAAAGTTCTGAGCACTGAATCCAAGGAGGTATAGAATGGGAAAGAAGGAGGCTGAGGATGGGACTGCAGGGGCATGAGAATTTCAGGGGATAGGCTGGAATACGCAGAGGGGATAGGAGTGGTTGCAGAAGTAGGAAACTGGTGCTGAAGAAAAGGGAGTGTGAGAGTTTGAATAACCAGCAGTGTGGCTCCAAATGATGGAAGTGATAATTTGCATCCATGTGGGGAAGGTCAGGGCCTTGCTGAAGTTGGAGATCTTCAATATGTCCTGATGCCAGTGGTGGACAATTCTGGGTGCTGTCAAGGTCAATGGTGTGGGCATGGTAGTTCATAGCTGACTGTAGGGTTTGGGAAGAGGTCATTAAAAGATAAGGAATTCTGAGACTAGCTAGTGTAGGTTGTCGGGTATGTCATCTATGTCAATAATAATAGTAACACTTAATATGAACCAGATGTTATTTTAGCACCAATACACATTACCTCGTTTAACTGTAATAAGTCTACAATTAGGCAAGTGGTAGTGTCCCCATCTTACAGTGGTATAAGTCCATTTTTCATTACTATAACTAAGTACCAGAGGCAGGATAACTATAAAGAAAAGAGGTTTATGTAGCTTATAGTTGGGAGGCTAAAAATCTAGGATTTGGTATCCCTATGTGTTCAGCCTCTGGTGAGGGAATAACAGCAGACGGTTAGCGTTTTTTATAGGGAGAGAACATGTCACCAAACAGGAAGTCAGAGAGACTGGGTTCCTGTGGTCCCTCCCATGAGCATGCCCCCAGTTGACCTAAGGACTTCTTACTAGGCTTCATCTCTTAAAGGTCCCACCTCCCAACATCACCACACTGAGGACCAAGTTTCCAACAAATGAACTTTAGGGAGACATACTTAAACCATTTCCAAACTGTAGCAACAGCTGAGGAAATTGAGTTTAGAGAGGTTAAGACATGCAGTGAGTAAGTGGCCAAACTAGAGATCCTACTCTGGTCTACTCTAATACAAAGGTGTTTACTGTAAGCACCACATAATTGAGCAGGGAAAGCATTTGGGATAAGAGGAAAGTTACAGTTGTACACATGGTTGCCATTCTTTATTTTCCTCAGGTTGAAGAGCTTAACTCTGAGATTGAAGAGCTCAGCACCACCCTGGCTAAAGCCAGAGAGGCTCCCCAGAAAACACAGACCCCAAAATTCCATGTAAGTGTTCACCTTGGGTTGTTTTCTCTGTCTCTCTGTCTCTGTCCTTATCTGTCTGGGCGGTCTTTACTGATAGAATTAACTCTAATTAAAGGGAAATTCTTCTTCACCAGCTTTGAGAGGTCTCCAGCCCCCTCCTCAGCATAATGATAATGATGACAACTGCCCCATAGATGGAGTGCTGAGTTCACTTTGTGCCAAGTCTTAGATCATGCAGAATATGTGGATTATCTCATTTAATCTTCACAGACGAGTGGAAAGGTTAATTATCATCCCTCTTATATTTGTGAGGTTTTTGAGGCTCAGCGAGGGTGTGCAGCTTATTTGCTACCACACAGCTAGCAAGTGGTGAGGCCAGGATTTAAATACCGCAATTGTGAATAACAGCAGGAATTTATTGAGCACATTCTTTGTGCCAAGCCCTGCTAAGAGCACTCTGTAGATTATCCCAGTTGGCTGTACAATGCCACTATGAAATAGGCACTGTTGATATCCTTGTTTTACTGCTGAAGAAATCCAGGTTGAGAGGTTCAAGGAACTTGCTCAGGATCCCAAAACTGGTTAAGTGATAGAGCTAGGATTTGAGCCCAGAGCCGTCTCACACCACAGGCCACAGCCTGTCTCCCATACCTCCCCTCACCTGGCTGCTTCAGTCCTATCTGCTTCCTCCCAGGGTTTGGTTTCAGGCCTTGGTGTTTTTGCCCTGCCTTTTTTCTCTTTTTCTACCCCTCGTATTTTACCTTAAGGACTCCTGCTGGTCATCCCCTTGGTTTTCCCTCTCTCTTCCTAATTTTAGTTTTGTGCTTTTGATTATTTTAACCTTTTATTCACATGTATCTAGTTTCTCTGCACAGTTAATGCCTACTACTAATAATTTAATGAATTGATAAAGTTCCATCATCACAGTAAGTCCATGCGGCCCGAAGCTCTCCTCCCACCTCCTGCACTGATACTGCTTTTGGTTGTAAAGAGAAGTTGGAAATTAAATCTAATTTAAGACTGTTTGATCTGAAGATTCATATCCCAAGCCTTATCTTTCGCAGAGCTTTGGTTCACACTAAGAATAATTGAAGTAATTTGGTTTGAATCATGGTGTGCTAGGAGAACAGAGGGACCTGTTTTAGGATCTCAGACTTGCCCTCTCCCACTGTTTTGACAGTGGCTGATGAAATGGAGCTGCAATTACATTACACACTTTTTCCTTGCCTAGGAAATAATCAGGTTTTAAAGGCTGAATTTGTAGCAAAACCATATTTTCCATTCCTTAAGAAAAGAATATGTATGTTGGTAATTGATAGCCAGAGACCAGACATCCTTGGAAGCATTGTGATGTTTTACTTATTATGTCGGGCCTTGAAGGAAAGAAAGGAGTCTTATAAGTTTACATTTTTATCCAGATTTATTACGTACATATATTTATTAATAACCTTAGTTCCAGTCAAAAGACTTTAAGGATGATATTTGAGGTCTCGTCATGCACAGTGTTGGCAAGGTTTCTTTTCTCGCAGCCCACAGAGATCGGAGGTGCTGTAACAAACTCTTTAGGGTTGTGTGTGTTGCGTTGGCTGCTCAGAGAACATGTGTTAAGTCTTTACCCAACGGAATTTGTGAACTTTAGATAGTTTGCATCAGAACTCAAATTCAAGTCTGTCTCCAAAATCTCATTCTGTCAGTCGGATTGTGTGAGTAAAGGAACATGGTACATTTATACCAGCTGCTTCATTTGAGGTGTACATATTCTTCTATAACTCTTTCTTTACTAACTTTCATCACCTGACCATAACTGTTCATGATAATGTCTAGCAAGCTCCTAACTGATGTTCCTGTCTCTAGTCCTTCCCACTCTCATTCAGTCTCCTTGTTTTTATTCTTTCTAGTTTATTGATGTTGAGATTGCCACTTGTATGGGTAAGCAGGGTCTGCTATGGGGAAAACACAGCCTCTGTCATTTGAATCCCAGGTTTTTCACTTGTGGTCCGATGACAGCATGTGCACTGAGCAGTTTTGAAGCCTCAGTTGCCTAAATTTGTTTCTAATTGAAAAAAATTTATAGAAAGTATATAAAAAAGTGTATGAAAAGTTTTTCCTCTGCTTTGGCATTTTTTCCAGAAAATTAGAAGGAAAAAAATGGCAACTTCAGAAACCACTCAACATATATTGACATTTTGGACATTTTGATGGTTTTTTTCCTAGACTTTCTTCTAAGCATAGATTTTTTAAAGATCATTTACAACTTGATCTTTTTTTCATGTAACAGTGTAGAGATGTTCACATTACTGATTCTTTGTAAATACAGTTTTACTGTGTCTTGATCCTAGTTTTGTATGATTACATATTTAGATGGTTTCTTATTGTTTACTACCATAAGTAATTCTACAATGAATAACTTTTTGTATAAATCCCCACACCAACATTTGGGATTCTTCTGATACTGAATCCAGGAATGAAATTACTGGGATGAGTGTGAACATGTTTATACTATACACATGGACTTGTTATATATAATCTGTCCGTAGGGGTTACATCAATTTAAATTCGTCCTGACATATTTCCCGGCTTGTAGGTGCTTGGCCAGTTCTTAGAGAGTAAATATGAAGAGTGCCATTGTATAATAAGCTTGCCAGCCCCAAATATTCTCATTAAAAAAATCTTACTCAATAACTGAGAACTTATTTTAATTCATTATTGATGATTTAGAACTTTTCTTTTTTTTTTTTTTCTGGTACCGGGGATCAAACTCAGGTCCTTGTGCTTGCGCAGCAGGCAGCGAAACCACTGAGCTAAATCCCCAGCCCTAGAACTTTTCTTATGTTTGTGATCCCATTATGTGTTGTTTTAGGTGAACTGTGTATTAATGAGATAAAGATGTTCTTGACACATTTAGCCCTTGGGCCTTGCTGAAGTTCCAGCCTTTGAACTACCATGCTGACCACTTCTTTGTTGTCAGTTGACCCTGAACACAGATGAACACTGCTTTCACTCATACCCATTACTGTTTTTCAGAGGAAGTTGTTCATTTTCTACCTTTTAAAGTGACTTGTTTTTTAAAACCATTATAAAAGTAACATACTTATCTTAGAATGTTTGAAAATACAGAGAAATGAAGAAAATGGTGAAACTATACTCCCACACTACTAAAATCAGTTACTGTTCACATTTTGTGCCTTTTCCTTCTGAATTTAGATGACTACTTTTACACAAGTAGGCTTCCCTCTTTCACATCAATATTATACCATAAACATTACCCTGTGTAGTCCAAAAGCGTCATACTGTTTGTGCTTTTTATCTTGAATGTCATCTATGTTAATCCTTTTCTTTTCCTTTTCCCCCCAAGCTGAAAAAGGAGCACAGAGTACCTAGTTTAATGAGGTGTGAAAATCAGCTCACCTCCCTCTCCCATCTCTGCCAGGGGTCTGAAGACTGTGAGGCTGCTCTGACAGAAAAGGAAGCCCTTTTGGCTGAGCTGCACTCAGAAAACCTCACCAAGAGCTCAGAGAACCACAGGCTGCAGAGGAACATTAAGAAGCTCACCCAGGAGCTGAGCGACCTGCAGCAGGAGAAGGAGAGACTGGAGAGGGACCTGGAGAAAGCTCATCGAGAGGGGAGCAAAGGCGCCCGCACCGTTCATGTGAGTGCTGCCCGGCCCTTCTGATGTGGTGGTGTGGCTGTTGCTGTTGTAGGGAGAAAGCTGTTCAGAGAAGAAAACAGAAAGGCGCGAAGAGATAGTCATCATCTCCTTACCTAGAAATGAAATGACCAGTTTTAACTATTTGATGTTTTAGCCCCTTCCCCTGCCCCAGTATCAAGTTGTTTTTTATTCAGTGTTCATTCTTTGGTGTGTTGCTGTGTGTCATGAGTGTTCTTCAGAAATATGTTCTTTTTGTGTCTGCATAATATTTCATCACTTAGCTACAATTTAACTAGGCCCTTCCTTATTGTAGAGCATTTGGGTTATTTCACATTTCTTTTTTGCCTTGTGCAAATACTGCAGCAAACATTCTACATCAGTATTTATCCACTGATTATTTCTGATAGGAATATAATTAACTGGGTCAAAGAGTGTGGATATATCTTTAAAACTATTTTATAGATACACTCAAATTGTTCTGGAACAAAGACTGTGCCAGATTTCTCTCTGTGATCTTTTTTTAAGACTACTCTATTCAGCATTGGTTATTAGCATTTAAAAATTTTCTCTAAATTTGGTAGGCTTATTAAAATTCAATTATAGTAAAACTTAAGTTCTCGGCATCTTTTAATTTAATCCCTCCTGGAGTCTCATCTAGGTACATAGCCTCGGTGCAGTCAGGTTGGATAGAGTCTAAGTGATCACTAACACTCAGGTTAATTGAATTATCTGTTCCAGAGCCTGGGGCAGGCAGTCCATAGTAGAGAGCTCAAAAGAGGAGCCATAGGTATGGGTATTGTGGTTGGTTCCCTGAGCCCTGCTGTGGGCAAGGATGCCAGGGTCCATGAGTTGAAATCACGCTGTGAACACTGAAAGAGAGAACTAAAGTACAAATGTTTGTGTATTTTAATAACATTTTAAACATACATTAAGAGACCAGTAATCAAAATTTAGAGAAATAAGAAAATGTCAGGTGCAAGTAGACCGACCACCCTAACAAAACAACTCCTTTGGGTTCCAATATTACCCTCCAGGTTCACCTGGGCTCTCTGTCTAATCGGAGGCTAAGTGCTGTTCTGTGTTCACCTACTCTACCATAGGCATCTTTTGTGTTGTGTAGGCTTCAGAATAGTCTTTTTGAATGGTGCAAAGTCTTTCATTGATAGCTTTCACACGATTATTTAATACTTTCCTCCTTTGTTGGGTAGAGAATTTGACTGCTTAAATGATGGCACAATGAACATCTTTAGGCATAAAGGCGTTCTTTTTTTTGAAATCCCGAGGATAGATTCTCAGGATGAGATTACTGGTTATAGGGCAAATATTTTATATTGGTTAATTATGCCACCAGATTATTAGTCACATGATTGCCATCAGCAGTATTGAAGTATACCGTTTTATTGAGGCTATTAGAAGATCTCCTACCCATATTAATCCAAAGTTATTGAACACTAGATCTATCTACTTTATATGCTGATGGAAATGGCAGGGATAATTTCTGAAGGTTTCAGCTTTCAAGGAAGATGAAATGTTACACATGACAAAATATAAAGCACTTTGTATTAGTCAGCTTTCTTGTCACTGAGATCCAATACCTGACACCCACAACTTAAAGAAGCAGAAGTTTCATTTGACTCATCATTTGGGGGGATTTAGTCCATGGTTGGCTGGCTTCAAGGCAGAGCAGAGATGCTTAGTCCATGGTGGACAGGAAGTGGAAGAGGGGAACAGTGCCACAGAGGAATCGGCGATAGACCCAAAGGCCACGGCTCTGTGACCCATCCGGACACACTCAGAAGGCTCCACCAATCTCATGAATGGGTCCCAAGACCAGTCAAATTAATAGTTCACTCTAACTGCCATATACTGCAACATCTAAAGCTAATTATTATTATATGAAAGAGATCCTTATATCTGGGAAACCTTCCAGGAGGAGGTGGCACTTGACTTGAATGAGAAGGAGGAGAGTGGAGTAGTGTGCCTTTACGGATGGGGCGTAAGCCTGACCAGCAGGTCCTTTGATAGAGTTGCAGTGTTTGTGGTCCATTCTTATATCCTTCACTGTTGGATAGCAATTGTTTTAGGGCCGGGAATTTAGCTCAGTGGTTCTGGTGCCTGCCTTGCAAGCCCAAGGTCCTGAGTTCAGTCCATGGTACCAAAAGAAAAAAACAATTTTTTAAGTTTAAAATGCATTCTTCTCTCACTGCCATCATAAAAATGTTCATGTAGTAAAATCTGGATGGTGGGGGATGAGGCATATAATTATGTAATCATATACAATATGCAATTCTTTTTACCTATAACTTACTCTTGATAAGAATTGGAAATCTCTATGTGATATTACATCAAGTAGATATGCTGTGGTTTACTTATGTATCCCTCTGCTGTCAGGCAGTGTTTGTTGGTTTCATAATTCACGCAGTCATATAAACCCTGGCACGTCTAAAAGAATTTAGGGCTGCTGTTGATAGAAAGATGTGTCCTTGCATCACATACCCACATCTTCATAAGGAGGTTAAGCTACTTGGCAAGGAATGGAAGGGGACTGTGACAGTGAGAGGGAGGAATTGGCAAAGTATTCTAGGGATGGGACTTTGTTTCGAGGAGCAGAAACCTCGCCTGAACTAATTTTGGCAAAAGGGAAATTTATTACTGTGTGTCACTGGAAGGACTGATCCTATCTCCCTGAGAGCTGGCTGCCTTTTCTTACATTTGCTAACTCCATTTCCAAGTGGCTGGGCCCTTCATTGCCAGCCCTGCTGGGATCACATCTTCCAGTTTGTTGCAGAAGAGGAAGGATGACTCACACTCCACTGCTCCTCCTGTCTTCCTGTCAGGATGGCCAGACAGGGGAGGCACTGAGAGCCATCCTGCTTTGGCAGGAGTGTGTGTGCTTATAAACATGCACCATCGTTGCCAGCCTCCTTGAGAGTCTCGTGCTTGGAGGGGTATGAACAGGTGTCCAGAGGAAGCAGTATTTTGTTATGGGGCCCTGGCCAGACCAAAACAACAGCTGTGCAGTATAATTGCTCACCTCAGGTGAGCAGTCCTGGGATGCAGGGCTTCTGGGTAACTCATCGGGTCTGCCTTATGCCTTAAGTTACATACTTGTTTCTGAAAGATGATTTGGGTAGTTTCCTACTTTTTTACATGTATATTACAACCCACTGGTATCTCAACTTTTGGTTATAGTCTAAGAATTTGGCTATGTCTGTCTTTCGAGAATGTTTTACCCCAGATTGTGGGAGTACAGAGTCTGGGGAGATTTGCTGAGGCCATGCTTTTGCTTCATGGTGCTAGGATGAATGCACAGGTGAAGCCTTGCAAATCTGATCAGCTGTTTAATTAGCCAGAGTGCCTTCCACTCACCAGCTACTATTGAGGTTGCTTTAGATTGAAGCAAACATACAAAACCTCACTCCTAGTGGCCTCTCTTGCCCTGGCAAAGAAAAAGGATTTGTTCACACATTCAGCAACACTGAACACTTTGTACAGGCCCTCTACTAGGCCTGGGTACAATTCCATAATAGAGATGGGAGCACACTACCATGGGAGCACAGGGAAAGGAAGTGGCTTGTGGGAAATAGAAGGCTTCCGAGGACAGTGACTTTGGAACTGGTTTTGAAGTTTGAGTTGAAGGTTAACAGATAGGGGGTCTAGGGGCACAAGGTTGTACAGGATGTGAAGGCTCAGAGCTGGAAGAGACAGTGTTTGGAGAAGAGTTTGATACTGAAATGAAAGCCAGTGGTCTCTATGGATGTGGCAGATTAACCTGGGGAAGGAAAGGTCTGGGATGCAGAGTTTGGGAACTTGGACTTGACTTTTAGGCCATTAGGCCTCTATGGAGTGGGAATTAAGCAGAGGATTGACAGGGTCAGATTTACAATTTAGAAAGACCAGTCTTCAGGATGTCAGGAGGATGGATTGGTGAGCAGTGCTGGGAGATGAGAAGATAAGCAAAGGCCTTTCTTTGACGTGGGAGCCAGGCTCTGAGGTCAGGGTGGAGAGGAGGAGAGAAGAACCTGTTCCTTAGTAGTGGGGTTGCTCAGGTGTGGCAGAGCTTGGTGTCCACTAAAGCTTCACCTATGAGGACTCACTGATAATCAGCTTTGGATCTCTCGTGCTTATTTGAATTTTGCTGTATCCCATAGGCAGGAAAAGTAAAACACTGATAAGAAAAATATCCAAAGCACACATCTTGTTCTCAACCCACAGTCAGCTCAGTGCTCAACACCCTCTTTCTTAGGCAATGAAAATTGCTGTCCAGAGAGATCGAAAAAAGCAGGTATGCTCCTTAGCTGTCTGTAGATCACACCTTACAGTCTACAAAGAGACTGCCCATTTTTCATGTTTGTCACACACACCTGTCTTTGGGCACAGAGACTGTTATTCCCATTTTACAAATAATCTGCGCCTCCCAATCTAAATGACCTGACCATGTAACGTGATAGTCTTAGGAAGTGAATAAATGGATCCACGTCTGTGGATTTTAATTTCAGGGCTTTGCCTAAGACACTGTGTTGCGGCAGTGGCACACCATCAGTAGTTATGTTAAGGATACTGTGCTTTTTGGCAGAAAGGAAGATTTTAAAAATATTTTCAGTTTTTCAGCAGACCAGAACAATATGTTCTCAGAAAAACAACTTGAAAAATTCTATATTTGAAGCTTTAAAAATTGTAATTTGTTCCTTTATGTGTTTCAGAAACATTTGTGGAGGTTTATAAAAAGTCATAAGCTTAAATGAGATTTAAAATAAAGACAAAGGCTTGGGGTCAGAAAATACAAGGGTGACTAGTAAAATGGAATCACAGAGCAACTATGTAAACATGCTCTTTGCAGTACTGAAAAGGACTTAAAATTCAGCTGGTGGCTCCTGGCAGTGAGAGTAAAAAGGGAAATTCAGTTCCAAGGTCTCCATTGTCTATAAGACGAACATGTTAAGATAAAAGGCAGCTTTTGCTGGCCCTGAGGCCTGAGGAAAGAATCGCATCTGGTGGTT